ACATCCGGAGGCAGCCAAATTCCAAAAGGCCAACACCCTGTTAGAAAAATAAAACTAGTCTTAGCTGAAGATGACTCCTACCCTTGCCAAAAGTTATGTTTGTGTCACTCTACTCCTACCATTTTCACAATTAAGTATGGAAAAAGACGATGCATCAACACTATCAATTCCCCTAACAATCTTAAAAACCTTAATCAAATCCCCTCTTACCCTTCTTTTTTCAAAAGAAAATAATATCTGGGATCTTAACCTCTCCTCTATCCCAGACACTATTCTATTAACCATTCTTGAACCCTTTCCAACAATTCAATGTCCTTCCCAACGTAAGAAACCCAAAACTGGACACAATACTTCAAATATAGCCTAACTAGTGGCTTTTTCAATGGAATTATAAGCTCTTTAGACTTATATTCAATGTTTCTGTAAATACAACCTAAAATCCTATTTGCCCTACCACTAGCAACAACACATTGTTTGATGACTGATCAACCACTACACCAAGATCCCTTTTATTTCATAACACTGTTAAGGTTATTCCCATCAACATTATAATTATAATTATGATAATCCACATGAATGATCTTGCATTTATTATAATTAAAACTCATCTGCCATTTATTCATCCAACTCACTAAATGATCTAAATCCTTTTGTAAAGCATCCTCTTCCTCCTCCTCCTCACAACCACCAACACCCAATACCTTAATATCATCAGCAAATTTAAGTAATTTATTGACCATTCCTTCATCTATGTCATTGATGTAAATAAAAAGGTCCTAAGACTGAGCCCTGAGGTACCCCACTTGTGACATTATCCAGTTTGACTGAACACCATTTATAACAACCTTCTGCTTTCTTCCATCCAGCCACTCTTCTATCCAATTAGCTAACTTATCATCCACACCAATAGATACACTTTTTTTACAAGCCTCTTATGTGGTACCTTGTCAAATGCTCTCTTAAAATCCAGATACACCAACGCTACACCTTATACTCATCTACATAAGCAGTAACCTTTTCAAAGAATATCAAAAGATTTGTAAGGCAAGATTGACTATCCAATAAAGTTCTAAACTTTGTTAAATGACTTTGCAAAGCATCTTTTTTCAGGCTTTCCAAAACGTTTCCCACAACTGATGTAAGACCTATAATTACTATAATTATTGGGACATCTTTCATTACCTCTCTTGAAAAGATGAGTAACATTAGCCAACTTTCAATGCTTTGCACCTGCCCACTACTGGCGTTGTATGTCATTGAATTATACTTGTGTCCTAGATTTATATCTACCGTATAGAATTTAATCTTTGCCCCTACGAAAATCAAACACCAGCGAGTAACTGGAATGTGTTATAGTGGCCTAATTCGGGAACCATTAACTTGAGAAGTTGTCCATAAATCATCGACTTGTTTGAACCACAAACGTAAATTTTCAGTTAGTCTGTAAGTAAGGGAATTAAATATAATGTAATGCGGTTAATGTTTCGTTGTTTTACTACTACTAATAATAATAATAAAAAAAAAACCCGATTTAGAATTTTCATAGTTTTATTCTCCGAAACACCTTTTAAGAAGAATAATTCTAAGAACTCAAGAGTGAAAGTAAGGAAGAAAGTATTATCTACTATCTTCAGTACCGACTAAGCCTTTCGTCTAATACCGATGCTCATCAGGCCGGCTGGGATACGACAGACATAGTAACGGTTGAAGCTCTATTTATGTCGTCAAAAAAACATCAAACATAATTTCTGCCAAATATAAACATGATCTAAGCATGCGTATAATTTGAAAACCATTTCATGTGATTAATATTGAAAATCGATGCATATGTTGTAGACCGTCTTTAGTCGAAGCCTAATGCTTTATGTTACGAAACAGTGTTTGTGATCTTTAACACAGATCAAGGCCAACTGATATCCAAGTAATTTAGCCTATCATTCATCAAGTCTAGCATCACACTCTTTATAACTAGCATCTAGGTTAGAGTGGTGAGTTTAAAAACCACAAACAGCATCTTTATGCTAAAAGTCGCCCCCCAGTGGCACAGCGGCATCTCTGCGGACTTACAACGCTAGAAACCGGTTTCGATACTCGCTATGCAACTGGGGCGGGGGGGGGCATTTACTTTAAGACAAGAATTGGGAAATTTTACGTAAGAATTCTTGATGCAAAACCTCACATGTAATGAATATTTCATATGCACGATCAAATAATATTTTAGCTAAAAATGGTTTGAATGAAACATACGAAATTAAAAATGATAAGCCAGGCTCATTTCTAGCAGTCATACACTATAATCTGAACAGAAAGATTTCGAAGTCCGACAGCGCAGTGTGGTACCTTTTCAGCTTATATAGTAGTTACGACTTCTGGTTTTCGGTTTTAATCGATAAAAAAAAACCCGATAATACACAAAAAAAGTGAAACCAGTATTTTTCCATTAAATGACGGAAATGGTTGTTCAGTTTACCGTCCCTACATTTCCTAGTTACTGTGCTCCTGAGATTTAACCCTTTCCATACGAATTACATTGCTTTGGAAATATTATTCTGAAGGAAAAGGAACACGTTTCGTCTGTTAGTGGTAATCATATAAAATAATATCCACTCTTACAAAGCTTTAATATAAATAGAACTATGTTTCACACCTGGTGTTACTCCCATAAGAGTAATTAGTTTGCAGATAATCTATGGTATATTAGTATACTCATTACAGTGTTAAAAGCGAAAACACCGATTTTATGGAATCTATATAAAACTAAACTAAAAAAAACCTGAAAAACACCGATTAAAAATAATAACAATAAACACTGAAAAACATACGTCCTATTAATAGTAGTACTAAATAAATAATTTGTTTGAACTGGTGGGACTTTGATTAAGTTACAATTTTCACGACACCAACGTATTCTTCGTGAAGAAAGGGTTTGTCTGTTTGCTTCAGAAGTCACTCAAGAAGCTACACTACCATAGTTGTCTGGAATTTAAAACAGATAGATTAGAGGGAAGGTGGCCGGCTACTGGGTTCCTCTCAGGATTTGAACAGTAATTTATAACCAACACCATGGTTCCAAAGTGAAAGGTACATTTTTTGCGGTAACGGGACGCGAACAGCAAACCCTCAAATGTATAGATCGAGAAAGCTAACCATTAGGCCGCTCACGCTTCTGTAGAGGGATGAATAAGGGGACCCTGATGACACACTGTTACCCAGGAAAAAACATTCACGTAAGTCGCACGAGAATTTAATAAACAAAATTACTTGGTGTAATGCGTATGTGTGTGTGCTGAGTCATAATAAGTGTGCACAATGAATTGAGAAATCGGTAGTCAGAAATGAAATAAAGTATCAATGTGGCTTATGAGTGTCACCACACACATGATTATAATTCATTTATATACGTATAACTTAGGTTATAAAAACATAATTTATTCTCTACGAAACTATACGATTAAAGTGGATGATTCATGTGAATGGTACGATATTAACTCCAGGTGTCGTTGTGTACCAATCGTTGTCTTATAATTCAACAAAATATTAATACAAAAACAAACAATAAACATGCAGTGAATCAACTTATATCTATCATACAATACATATATAAACATTGTAATAAACCTTCATTGTTGCTGAAGAAATGAACAACTCTATATTGTACTACAAACAAACAAACACATAATAATAATAACTTCAGATCACGGTAAATTATGTACTTAGAGCGAAACTAAAACTAACCTGTTCATGACTGTAGTTAATTAAATGTATATATATATATAAGTTACGTAAGAACATTCATCTGTATTGGTATTAAGCGTAGGAGCGTGTTATCCGTATTACATTTGCCATACGTAAATTCTAACTTTGTATATGTGAATCACGTTTGTTTGTTTTTCGAGCACAGTTTTATTCAAATCCGGTTTTCGTTTTTATGTCTATTTCATTAGTTCCACGTTTTGCATGTACAGACTTATTTCTGACTGATTTTTTTTAAACCTTGCGTGGGTAACTAATGTTTTGTGTTTCAACCTTTATTTGTTCTTTGTTTCAGATAAAGTGGTAAACAATCGCCTGGTTTTCTCGTAGGTTTCCTTCTCGACACACACAAATGTCCACGTGCATGGGAACGCGACTGAAGTTTGAAAGTGAACCATAGTTCTCTTTTACGTCGGAACGGGATAGCCCGGATGAGAGAGAGAGGAGGGGGGGAAGCTGGAATGCAGCTTGCACAGCAAGAACTGGTACTGGATTTCGCATCTACGTGTTCTGCGCCCCACAGACAACTGTCAGTACAGAAAGAGGATTCGGTCGTGTACAGTCGGCTTTGCTTCCTTCCAAACCTCACCCTCGTACACTGCCTACCAAATAGGGTAGCCAAAATAGCGCAGCTGAAACTTTAGTAAAGTTAGGTGTGTTAGAAAGTTTCAACTAATCCGTTGTTTTGTTGAATTTAGACAAACCGAGCACACTAATCTGCCGACTACTTTCGTAAGTTTGATCCGCGCGAAGCAATGGGGAAGTGTCTATCGTGTTTGTCTTCCTTTCGAGCGGTTTTTCGGCCAAATCAGGAGAGTGCTATCCCTCTCACCCCTTCTCGAAAGCCTAAACCCCCGGGTTCGGACGTTACAGAGCTCCCGAAACCCCCAACTGAGGTGAAACGTGAGTACAAATGAGCCTCTGTTTCTTGTGTAAATATTCAATATAATGCTTAACTTAGGTTCTCCATGTTTTACTTTGTTGTTTTTACTTAATATGCTAAGCACCCATGATTTGTAATGGTAATAATAAATTACCTCTCTGTTTGTAAGAGCAAATGTTTTTTGTTTTTTTATTATTTGATGAAACCCCATCAACTTAGCGAGTTTCTTGTGATTTATTTTATCCTTCACGATTTATTAGTATTATTGTGATTTGTCTTATTTTATCCTTAATGATTTATTAGTATTATTGTGATTTGTCTTATTTTATCCTTCACGTTTTAGTATTATTATTATTGTGATTTGTCTTATTTTATCCTTCACGTTTTAGTATTATTATTGTGATTTATCTTATTTTATCCTTCACGTTTTAGTATTATTATTGTGATTTATCTTATTTTATCCTTCACGTTTTAGTATTATTATTGTGATTTATCTTATTTTATCCTTCACGTTTTAGTATTATTATTGTGATTTATCTTATTTTATCCTTCACGTTTTAGTATTATTATTGTATTTATCTTATTTTATCCTTCACGATTTATTATTATTATACAAATATATCGTTTTGGCAGACTTTTATGGGTAACATAATATGACAAATCCAATTATGTATCACCCATAAAACTGAATGGAAATTAAGATGATTCCCGCCTTTCCCTTCACGCTGCTAGTATTACTATCACTTGTACGGTTAGTTTCGGTCTGGAAGTACTAACACGAAGTGTCAACTTAATGTAACAAAATTTATGTTTTATATGTTACAGACAACAACACGAAAATACGTAATAGGCTCATAAAGTAATGTACTGGTCAAGACTGAGTGGAGATAATGTTTCTTAAGTCTTACTAAATTTCAACTGACAAGTAAACTTAAAAAGCATAGCTGGGGTGACATGTAAAACAAATAACGTGTGTAAAAACAGCGACATCTATGGCTTGAAGCAACACATAGCTTCTACTAGTCCAGAAGCACATTGTAAATCATAAAATCTATTCCGGAAAGCCTGAACCCAGTAGAGAGTGTTTAAAAAAAAACAACAACCATCATTCCTCAAACAGCATGTCAAGCCTATGAGGTCTACTGGTAATATCATATGTTCTGGACAGTGTTCTCAGACTATCGAAAGATCCGTTCACTGTCATACATTGTGTATTCACATCATTATTCTCGTACTTTTGGCAGAGAGAAGAAGAAGACAAACGCCAGTGGTAGTTATCGATAATGTCCAAAGTGATTTAATGATGTGATATTGAAACACCTTGTTCCATGTCCATGAACGAAACGTTAGATTCTCAATACGCCGAAACTTTGTTCTCTTAGAACAAATATTTCATAAGTAAAAACACACAATATATCTAAATACACACTTATATATACATATATATATCACAACAAGATAAGTTAACTATCCTATAATTACAAAATCTATATGTCGAACGGAAGTATCTGTGTTACACAATTACTTGCCCCTTTTTTATGACTACTACCGAGAATGATCGTATGTATTCTTCAATATGATTGTGCAAATATTTATTTCAACCTAATATAAACTGTAGATAATTTCGGAGAATACAATGTTTCATCATACTTCTAATCACTTCTGAGGGTTAACATTTAACTTAGATTCCGCAAACATTTTTACGTTTCCAACGGGCCTGTTTTTATCATAAATATTTCAGGCCCATCGGATTCCTATGGTATTAAGCGGAAAGGCTTCAGCACACTTCAAGATATAATTAATAATGCACAACAATTCTGCACATACATCGTAAAAAACGTTTTTCAAGAGGTTCAGTCCGATTAGGTTTAATACTGGTTGTTCTTTGTTGGTGGTTTTTTTTTCATGTAGCCTTTGTACGTGTTTCGGAAGCGAGTGAGTTTGCCCCTGTTTTTGTCACGTGATTGGTTCAATATAACGGTATTATTTAATCTCAATCAATCCTTTCTGTAACAACAGATTGAACACGTAGATCAAGTCTGATTTTAGAATTACTTCTGGTCACACGAGTGGTGGAATTTGTATCTAACGTTTCGAAGTTCGTGTTTTAGTCTGAACATAACGTAGGTGGATTACAGAATTCTCGAAGCGTTGCGTTGGCGCCTTTGTGTTATATTTGTCGATGTTGTGGAAGTTGAGTAAGAGAGGACCAGTAACACGTTTTCCTGAACCTCCCACGCTAGTTATGCCAGCTGAATCATCTTTACTCAGCCCTCAAGAAATACTCCTTCATTCAGATCATACAGAGTATGTTTAAATTGGGTGGGCTTCTCTCATTAATCTACAATTGTGGTCCCCCTTACCAACCCTGCACGAGGATTACACCGAGCCACAATCATTGAAACTGACAACACTTCGGCGTGACTGCAAATAATTTCGTTTACGTCAAGCACACTAAACACCAGTTCTAGAGAGGGTAATAAATGAAAAGATAATTCAGATCATACAGAGTATGTTTAAAGTTGGGTGGGCTTCTCTTATTAATCTACAATTGTGGTCCCCCTTACCAACCCTGCACGAGGATTACACCGAGCCACAATCATTGAAACTGACAACACTTCGGCGTGACTGCAAAGAATTTCGTTTACGTCAAGCACACTAAACACCAGTTCTAGTTAGGGTAATATATGTAAATTTGGCTTAAGTGTCTTGATTATCTGCGACAAAAATGTCTGAACAGAAGGACAGACATGAGCAGAAAAATACGCAAGAGTAGAAATAGTTAATTACTGGTCGAACTACGTTTGTAGGTATTGGTCGTGGCAAGGATGTAATGTAATTGAAGTTGTTATTACACGCGACTCGAGTCTCAGATGCTGAGTGTATGAAGTATCAATGCGATTGTATCAGTAAAATAACTTCTGCTTACGTTTCTGAGATGTGAGGTTATATGAACGTCTCTTTTAGGCAACTTTGAAAACAACTACCGTTTTAAAGTTATACTCGAACCCTGTACTTTCTGAAACACCTGAAAAGTACTTACTCTAATGTGTGTGTGTGTTGTTTTTTTTACTATAGTATGTTTATTTATTCACTCGCACATCGAATTTAATCTAAACTCATCTCAGAAGTAGAAAGTCCAAATTATGAGGACAAACCTTCTTATGTACACCAACAAAGAAAAAGTGTGTAGATATTGTGGAATGCCATTTTAACCATACAACAGAGAGTTAAGAGCCACAGCGTCGAAGGGAAGGGGGGGGGAGCAGTTCATTACCGACATCCTGTGCACTTGAATGCTCAGAGACTAGGCAATACAACTCAATTTACTGAATTATACAGAAGCTTGTCTAGCTGCAGTTAAAGACAGCTGCAAACAACAAACATAGCTATACTTTAACAAGCTGTTTGGTGTGACGTAAAAAAACAAAAACTATTTAATCACCTGAAATGACCAAATAATACAAGTATTTCGTACAAAAAAAAAGGGGGTGTTCATCTAGCCTAAGGCATATCGGTAGATTACTCGAATGTCAATTACATTCCGACTATGTTATTTTTTTATCTGGCTGTTGTTGTTGGAAAGGAGTCCGTGTTACATAACCAGTTATGAAGTATGTTGACAATGTTTCTGAATCTAAAAATAAGAAAGATTTAAAGTTTTCATTCTGATATAAATGATGGTATTACATTCCATTATAGTAGAGGACATTGCCAATTGGGGGGGGGGGGGGGGTATGAAACTAAGTAGGCTTCTCTCTCTCTCTCTACAAGTAGCACATGAAATGGTCTTTATTCGTGTCTAAAATTATGTTGTTTTTTGACAAAAGAAAAGCTTTAACATTCTGAAAATTGTGAAGGGAAAAGGAAAATAAAAGCCTGGATTTTAAACATTTTAATATTGGCACATTTCTCTGAAAATGAAATGTGAAAAGTTAACGACAATATTACAATAAATTTCATTCAGAATATTCAAAGGAAAGTTCAGACTATTTGAACCTCGCCCGTAAATTTAATATAATCCACAGGCTACGTGTATTAAATGGAAATCCATAAGGTATAAATGAACTCAAGTTCGTGACGATCTGTGTCATTTGTAATAAGTAATTTATTATGATTTTTTTTCACAGTAAATATTCAACCATCTACCTATATTGTAATATTTTACGAAACTAATTTTCGGTGTGTGTGTGTGTGGCATAATTAGTCGAATTTCGGAAAGTATTGAAATAATGTCAAATCTTTCAACCTCTGTTAGTACTTACAGCACAAACAATTTAGATTTATATCGTTGATATTCAATAATAATTTATCAACCTTCGACTAAACACTCAATCTATTTAACGCTGACCCTTGTCTCTTAATTGGGATAGAACACAGATAGACCATTGTCTAGCTGTTTTTAACAACAAATTAAACATTGTTAAACAGCTGAGATAATTCAAAAATTTACTCAGAGACGACAATATTTTGAGAGAATGAAGCTACACCTGTGCCAAATTTTGAAACTGAACTGAAAGTGCGAAACGTGTTTGGTAATACCACGTCTCGAACCCGAGATCTTTGGGATCCCCAATCCAGTACGCTAGCCACTCGGCCTACATGTATAGAAGTACATCTTAAACAATTTGTTAATAAAGTAACACCCCCCCCCCCCCCCAGGTGTTCACTGCTTAAATTAGAACAACGTGGGGTTAGAAAGTTTTTGTCTTAAAACTTTCTAAACAGGTAATACAAAACATATCGACCTTCCAAATTTTTGTTTTCTATAATATTTTTTTTTAAATCATAAGTACTACTAGTCGGTAACAACGACATTTTTAAGTTTAATTTTATCATTATTATTTGTTACTTACTGGTGTACAAGAGAGTTAATCAATTAATTGGTGCCAAAGGGCGTGACAAAAGACATCTACTTAGTGAGACTGTGTAATTTTCAACCCCGTTATCATGAGGTATCGCCACTTCATACCCGAGGCTTAAGAACTGCACTATCAGGTTACATTTCAGTGTCTTAAAA